CGGGTCGCTTTTTTCCCCTTTCTTAAAAATCGGAACTATATTAGCAATTCTCCAGTCAAATGGTACAACCCCTGAGTTTAGAGATTTATTAAAAATTTTTGCTAATGGACTTGCAAGTTCATGTGCCAGTTCCTTTAATATTCTTGGATGAAGATTATCTGGGCCCCCCGATTTACTCCCATTAAGCTGTTCAAGTTTGACTTTTACCTCGAATATGGTAATATCTACCGGGATTTGAATTAGGAATTAGGAAGCCTAATCCGAACTAGCTACTCCGTGCCACGTGTAGCCGCGCGGCACGGGATTCGAACTAGCCGGCATTTAAAAATGGCGCCGTACGGCTTCATGCAAATGAAGACCTTTTGCTAATGGACTTGCAAGTTCATGTGCCAGTTCCTTTAATATTCTTGGATGAAGATTATCTGGGCCCCCCGATTTACTCCCATTAAGCTGTTCAAGTTTGGCTTTTACCTCGGATATGGTAATATCTACCTCCATATCTTTAGTCCCATTTGTTAAGTTACCATTATCCCTAAGCTCTTCATTAGCCTCATTAAAGACTGAAGCAAAGTATTTGTTCAAATATTGGGCCATTCCTAGATTATCCTTAACCTCCACTCCATCCTTAGTAATTAGCGGTCCTACTTCTTTTTTTGTTTTTTTTCCCTAGTTATATGGCTATAAAATCTTTTACTATTGGTTGTGACATGCCCTAAATCTTTTAGGATCCCTTAATATGAAATTTACACCATTCTCAGGTTTTGAAGCATGCCATTTTTCCTTGTTGAAATGGAAAGTTTTCTTTCAAGATGACAATGTGTCACAACTTAGTTTAGCTTTCTGTCCCCACAGCTAATGAAGAAAGAAGCTCTAGAAGATGATTTCTTGGATTGTACTCTGGAAGATCTTCTCCGATTTGATGATTACAACAATGATGGTTATTTAACTCTGCAAGAACTCTATACTGCATTCCGTAAGTCACAGTGGTTTTTTCCTCCTCCTTTTTAATGACAAAATGTGGCTTTTGGCCCACTTGTTAGATGAATATTCTTTAGGACAATGTTGTGTTTCCGCCAATGTGTGTAGGCAATAGCTGTTTTCATTTGGAACTTTCTGTGGTATGCATATGTCAGCGTTTTGAAATGGTGGGGGGTTGTTTCCTTAAGGTGAGGTGTGTTTATCAGTAAATAACTTCATGGATTTGATAAAGGAATACAGGGAATGGATTACTTTATTGTGGCTTTGATTGTACTTCTCTTTAACAGCATTAGAAAGATATTGTTGGATTGCTGGAAATGTAAATAGAACGTGTATATAGTTTCTAGGGAACCACAAGGAACTGTACTTGTTTCCCAAGAACTTTTTTCATGAAAACTGGTTTAACACAGCATGATGATAGCTGTTATTTTAGGAGTGAGAAAAATATGGTTTTCCCAGGCATCTTCTGTCTGGATTAAAGGCATTTATTACCATCTTTGCCAATGAATTGCTGTATGAATTCGGGGCAAATCTCTGTACCTGTTTAACCATTTGCAACATGCTTACTGGCTCTGATTCAGCAAGATATTTAAGCAGTGCATAGCTCTAAGGCTTTGAGTTATCATTTATTTGCCTGGGTTGGTAAGGTTTGTTTTGTTTTTGTTTTAAGAATTCTCATTTGAGTAATTAACAATATCTGCTATGAACCATGCTTTGGTACTTCAAATCTCACTATTCTGATTTTTACCAAAAAATAATACTTGTGTGCTTGCTATGATAAAAAGCTTTGGATATGTTAAAGGCTTTACAGGTATTAGTGAAGTAAGATACATCAGTATATGCAGAACTTTGTCAGAGGCTGGGGAGAGATGGCAGGAGACAAATCGCTTGATCATTGTCTTCGGTCCACCCTCTCTGGGGCACCTGGTGCTGGCCACTGTCGGCAGACAGGATACTGGGCTAGAAGGACCTTTGGTCTGACCCAGTACGGCCATTCTTATGTTCTTATGTTCTTATGAACTTTAAGCATGTAGGTAAGGCTGCTGAAACCATTGGCATTTCCAACAGGATTCTGACCTTCTCATCTTAACATTTATAAGATAAAAAATATTTCAGTGCGTTCTCCTGCATCTTTATTCCTCTACATAACTGCACAGTAAAAGCACAATATTGCTTCTTTTACTCACATTTAATATAGTACCTTGATCCAGGAGTAGTCCCAATAACTACTCATGGAATAAAGTTCTATGCTCCTCATTATATATATGGTAACCCAGTGTCTGTGAGTCTGTAACACTGAAATGCTGGCTGTACCCTCTGGGGGGTGCTGTTGCCTGAAATGCTGGCCGTTCCCTCTGGGCAGCGCTGTTGCCTGAAATGCTGGCTGTTCCTTCTGGGTGGCCCGTGCTGTATGGAGAGTGCGGGGCCCAAACGGCCGCTTGCGCCTCTTGCTCCCCCACGGAGGCCCAGATGAACGGCTCAGAAGTGAGCTGAGCACCACGATGGGAGGCGAAGGGGGACAGGGCAGTTACGTGCAGTGTGGCAGCGGCTCCAGGCCCTGCCCCCAGGCTGTGTATGTCACCTCCCCGCCCCCCTTCGCCTCCCGCCGTGGCGCACAGCTGACTTCTGCATTGCTCAGCCAGACCACCGCGTGGGAGCAAGTGGCGCAAATGACTGTTTGGGCTCCACACCCCCCATGCAGCATGGTGCCCAAACGGCCATTTGGTCTCTGCGGTCCCCCAAGTGAGAGGTGGCGGGGGAGGAGAAGAGAAAGAGAGAGAGAGATGGAGCGAGAGACCAGAGGCTCAGAAGAGAAGACCGATGTGGAGGAGAGACCTGAAAATCCCATCTTATGATGGGTTAATTGGCTAGTAAGTAAGAATGGCAGAAGTGGGCTCTGACTCACACAACCTTTCCTGAAGCAACACGCTAATTTTCAATATTATTTGTCCATCTAGAGTAATAAGGAATAAAATCAGAATTGCTGCTTCTACAGATTTTCATCTTGTCTACAGTGAGTGGCTTCTGTTATGTTCATTTGAAGTTTTAATTAAAAAAGGTTTGGGATAATAACTTTTAAAGTGCTCTAAAATTAGACAAAGCTGGCACCTTGGACCTGTTTTTAACCACATATGCATTTAATTCATTACAACATGCTGAAAATAATAGATATGCAATAAAACATAAAACCTTATTCATTAAGAAGACTATTAACCCAGCTATAAAGATGAGACATGTAGTTACTTAGGAGCATATCTGGATCAACGGGTTTTCAAAGTCATAGGAACCCTAAACTAAATTCTAATACTGCTTTGAATGGATTTGAGGTTCTGTAAATTTTAAATAGCTAATGAAAATCAGACAAGCGTGAGATATTACCTAAAAAGAGTCTATAATTGATAATCCTTCAAAAATATCTTAAAGAAAAAGAATTCAAAAGAACCTATAAAGTATTGAAGAAAAAATTGTTCTCCAGCCAAACTTCAAAATTAGCCCATTTTATTACTTTAATCTCCATTCTGGAAATTCCCAAAATAATTTGCTTTTATTAGAAGAGTTTAATGGTTTGTCAGCATCCTGAATCAGAAAGTGGGATGGTTTTTGTACCTGTAGAAACTTCACAGCCTTTGTAAGTAAAGTGAAATTCATGGCCAAAGTACAGTTTTTCATGGAAAATGTATTTTATTAATATGATTTTGTAGAATGCATTTCAAAACTGCTTGCTCTTTACATAATTAGTTGTCTTGGGTGCATAGTGTGGGTTTTGTAATCATAGCATGCCTGAACTTTGTGTTAATCCCTTCATTAGGAGCACGAAAATCAACAATTCAAGCTGCTTTTAAAGGTACAACTTCCTCCATATTTTTCGTAGACCTGAACTAGTGCATTGGCATATCCTTGCTTAGAACCACATGAGTTAAATCAATCATTTTTGAATCTGAGCAACAGGTTTGCAAAGATAGAGGTTCAACAGACTGTGAAATCTAATTATCAGAATTCAATGACATCATAAAGTGTGAATCAAATTTACTCTTCCCCCAAATTGTTACGTTAAATTTGTCCCAATGCACCATATATACCTTTGCAGTACTCTAGTCCAAGGGCGGTACAAAGGTGACCTTGATGATTTTGAAGCGCTGAACTCTCAAATGTGTCGTTCTTTTGCTGCTTTTAAAATCATAGTTCATTTTAAAAACTCCCATGGCTTTTCCAGAAGAGCTACAAAGTTTCTCTCATGCTTGCTTGACAGTTTCCTTCTCTCCCCTTCTCCCCTCATTGCTGTCCAGAAAAAAAGCATTTTTAACTTTACGATATGCAGATCAGTTGTAAATGAATGCACCAGAGTAATTGTATAACTTATCTTTCCTGAGAAGTGGATTGGTTCTGGTTTCTGTTATCTAGTAGGTGCTAATTTAACAGAAGTTTTAAATAACGGAACACTTGTATATAAATAGTTTAACTCTCACTTTTGGATTATGGGTAAAATAATGGCTATCTCACTTTGTCTCTAAATGAATCATTTTATTCTGCTTCTCTGAAAGATACTTCGTCAGTTTAATTAATCCTGTGAATACAGTCCCTCTGGTTTGTTTGCATTCATGTAAATTGCTCTAAATAGCTATTAGCAATGGTGAAAAAAATGCTTAATATTTAAATTCTTCCTGATCCTACATAAATAACATGTCAAGCTGTATGAATATTTTCCTGATGAGCCTTGCAAGAAAAGCAAATTGTGGGCATCTTCCAATCTTTATACTATGTACCTTGAGCCTGGATATCTGATAAGGTTCAACAACTAAAGAATCTCACTTGTAAATTGATTATCTCAAGACATCCATACCCCAGGAAATGTGCAGAGTATTGGCAAGGCTGTTTCACATGTTTGCTTCTTACTTTCTATGTAGCTGCATAAAACTCAGTAAATGACTAACAAGTAGTAATAGGCATAGCTATTGTAAAAACTAGACCAGAGAAAACAGCTAATAAGCATGAAAACAGTTTGATAATTTGACAAGCACGTTGCCCAGCTAAGTAAGATGTTGAACGTGCCCATAAGAGTGATTTTTTTTTTGGTTATATCTTCTGGAGTTGTGTTACACTGGAGGTCACTAAAATTAGGCCTGTCATTGCTGGCCTTACCTTTATGTCACTCCCTAATGAGAAAGTAATCGTTTAGCTGATGCAAAATTCTTCCTGGAAAACTCTAGCTCCATATTATCATTGTGGACAGGTCAATTAGTAATACAAATATGTCCAAGACAAGGAAAACATGTATTCAATCAAAATTGCTTTATCTTGTCAATATTGCTTTAGTTAATAAGAGGCTATTAACAATGAGATTGAAATGCTGTTAAATTATAGCTCATTGCTCATTAGGATTTTTTCACACTGACATTAATTTCTCTCAGCTTGGCTTTGCATTTCATTAGATTATAGCGAAGTATAAAAACAACCCTTTAGAGACTGCATGGACTGCTCTAAAACAGTTCCACTATTGCTGGTATGTCACACTGGGTTTAGAGAGCTTTTGATTGAAGTTGCTCAATCCAGTATGAATATCTTACTAGATCAGGTCAGGAAATATGACAAGATAATTTCCAAATCTCAAAGCACTTATGGCTCTCAAGGTTGCTTTCTGTGCCCTATGCTTGTCATTGGACATTGTCAAAGTGGAGACAGTGGGAAATCCTGCTCAGTCATATTTTTTCTAGTAGCTGAAGAGTGGTATTTTGAGATACTTGATGTTCTTATATAGGAAAAAAAAAGAATGTGAATGCTCTTCAGAAGAAAGGAGAAATATTTATTTTTCAAAGGAGAAATATTTATTTTTCAATCAGTGCATCAATTATTCTTGTTAAATATATTTAAACAGATTCCTTTGTAAACAGTGCTTTAGAGAGAGATGTATGTATCTCTAAATACATCTACATTAAATGCACAAAATGTAGTTTGTGAAGAACAAATTATGGCAGAGAATGAATGAAGAATAAATTG